ATTTCTATAATAAGTAAATATTACTTTTGCAGTCAGGAAAAGCTATAATTTTTTAAAGGTGCCCAGAGTCTGTAAGAGCTTTTACAAAAGGAAAAATACCCCCATTTTCTAAGCCTACCTTTAAATTTTTACTCCCTTTGTTTAAGCAAACTCTCTGATAGAATTACATATTTCTTTTATCATAATTCATGTAAAAGGCAATTTGGGGATATTTACTAGTGCAAAAAAAAAAAGATTATACCACTAAATCGACTAGCATCGAATTACCACATTTCACTGCATGTAGGCTATAATTAAGACAAGTCTAGACTAATCTTTTTTCTTTATTTTCCTGTTTCCCATAATAATCTAGTTTCATCTACTTTTCTACTCCTCTAACGTATTTTGCTTGTGTTTGAAATCTGGCCTGAAAGTATAGGCCAGTCTGATAGTTATACACAATAAATGTTTTGGGTTTTTTTGGAAAGAGAATGATAAACCCATGCTTGTTGTGGTATGTTGCCTGCAGCCTATGGCCATCACACAAGTTCATACTGTACAAGTTCAGTGTAGGGAACAATTAGCCTGAGAGAAAAAATTAGGAATTAATGGTTCAAACATTAACTGGATTCTAAAAACACTTCCCAGACAAACTCAATATAACCTTTCTTTTCAGTAGGTAGCTTAAATCAGACAGGGACTATTTTAAATGGTTCTTATTTCTAGGATATGTTTACAAAAATATCCCTTTGAAAATTCAGTTAATAATGCACATTTTGTACATCTAAGTGCCAAGTCCTATGAGAGCTACAAGTTTCCTGCCATAAAAGTTTCTATCTAGATTGTTAGACATAAAATTTCTTAAAATTAATTTTATTGGTACATTTTAAGTATACAATATAATGGCATTCATCATTGGAGATTTGTACCTTTACATAATATATCTTGATTCTTATTTTTTCCCCATTCCCCCTCCTTCCTTCAACTCCTCCACCCCTCCCTATTTACAAAGCCTTTGTTTCCATTTTTTCATTTTCTCATATTAATTCCATTCTCTTCTTTCCTTCCCCCTACCCTTCCTACTTCCCCTTTGCACCCTTTCTTTCTATTTCACATTATCTGTTGTACATTTTGATCCTCATTTACACTTTCAGTTTCTCACACTAGAGAAACTATTCGGTATTTAACGTGTCCTATTTATTCCACTTAGGAGTATTGCCTCAATGTGCATCCATGTAGCTATAAATGCCTCTAATTTCTCATTCTTTATGGCTGAGTAGTATTTCATTTTATAAAAAAAAACCCCACATTTTCTTTATCCAGTCTCCAGTTGATGAGCGATTGGGCTGTTTCCAAGCTTTAGCTCTTACAAACTGTGCCACTATAAACATGGGTGCATATATCGCTGTGGTATGATTCTTTTAATTCTTTTAGGAAGATACCCAGCAGGGGAAAAGCTGGGTCAAATGGGATCTCTAATCCTAGTTTTTTGAGGTATCTCTATACTTATTTCCACAGTGGTTGCACCAGTGTTAGACCTAAAATTTGCACGCATGAAAAAGCAGAGTCAAATGAAAGACAGTGTAGTATTAAGTGGCTCAGAGGAATTAGCCCATTAAACAAGGGAATGAGGTATAGCTTAATCATCTTTAAACCTCTTTAAACAGTACTGTAACAGATCTCTAATAGTTCAGAGCATTTAACACTATAGCCATTCATGCAGAGGATTTTCAAGTTTTCCAGATTAAAATGAATCTTTATTCTGGAAGGTCTACAGTAGGTGAGGCAATTCTACCAACCTTTAGCACTACAAGCTGTTAGTACTTTTACTATTCCTGAAATAGACAAGATGGAATATTTCCTCTTAGGAAAGTATGCCAGCTAAGATGCTTTGAGCTGCAAGTAATAGAAAATACCAAACATAAGCAAAGAGGAAACCTCATGTCTCACCCAATGAAGTACAGAAAAGTACAGAATGAGGAGTTCCTGGTGTATCAGGATTGGAGGCTCCTATTAAGGATCCAGCTTCTTTCTTATCTGCACGAATCTCTCTCCATCCTCAGACTGGTAGCAAAAGGATGCTGCAGTTCTATGAGGCAGATGAGAATATAGTCCAGAGCATAGATGTGGACATAGTCCAGGGCAAGGATAGGCAAACTGTAACCCTTGGATTAGGCATTATGGAAACACATCCATCTGCATTGCTTTACATATCTTCTGTGGCTACTTTCACATTACAACAGTAGATTTCAATAGTTGCAACAGAGAAATTGAAAAATTCTCACAAAGTTGGACTAAAACAAGAGATAGCCAGATCCTTATTTCTTATTGTTTATTTTATTCATTCCTGTTTTTAATGACTCATCCATCTGTCCATCCATTCACTGGCCCATGTTTCCATGAACATTTACTGGATACAGAGAATCTCTGTATGGTAACTTTAAGCTGAGCTACACACACACACACACACACACACACACACACACACACACACGCACTGCTTTGAGAGAGAAATCCCAAACAGACACTGCTTCTTGGAAACTGGCTGAACTACTTAAACTGTTCCTTGTTGTTCTCAATACTTGGACTACTCATTGTCAGGCCTTTCCTTATTTTTCATGATAAAAATGTCTTCCTCACAGGGCTTCCTTCCACAATGAGTCTGCTTCTTTAGTAAAGTTAGACCAAGAGTGTGAGCAGGGACAAAAGAAAGGGCATCCACAGGCTTTCTGTCTTCACAACTGAAGTCAGTTTCAGACCAGCATAAGGACTCTAAGGGAAGCACCTTCAAAGGGGACTGCAAAAGGAGACTTTCATTAATAGTTACTCTGACCATTAATCCTAATTTGTCAACTTCATTGGATTAAGAAACACCCAGCAGATTAGTAAAGGAAGCTACTGAGTGTGGGAGGGGGTCATCACTACATATGGTCCTACATGGGTCCTACATATGGTCTGTGGCCCATTCCTTTCTGGTACTCTTTGCCTGCTCTGTTTCCTGGACAATATGCACTTAGCAACTGTGCTGTACTACCTCTTTTCATCATGATACCTCTTCCTTGGAGCCAACCGATGATGGACTCAAAGCATGAGCAAACTTTTGATCTTCATTTAGTATGTGAGTGTAGAGTGTTGTGTCCAGCCATGAGAAAGCTAACACATTTACAAGGAGAGAAACTACCTTCAATGTGTCTGACAATCACCTGAGATCTTTTCATAATCACATTCCTGCTAAAGTAGATATTCTTCCTAGTTCTCCCCTTTTCTGGTCTTTCTGAGGCCTCAGAAACTTAAAATTAGGGTGAAACTAGAGATGATCCTGAAAAATATTTTATACTATGGAATTTGTTTTTAAAAGGAGTTAGTGTAAAATGTTAATAGTGATCACAAAGAGAATGCTATAAAGTTTCCGTGAAAAGAACTATCTGAGTTCTGCTATATGCCATTTGATTTGAATATTAATCTCATTTAACACTCACAATAAGCCTGTGATATATCAGTATTACTTAAGAATAGATTTGGCTGAAAATGCAGAAAATACATCCACAGTAGATTAAAAATTATGAGTCCAGGGCTGGGGATTTAGCTCAGTGGTTCTGCTGCCTGCCTTGAAAGCTCAAGGACTGGAGTTCGATCCCTGGTACAAAAAAAAAAATTATGAGTCCCACAGGCGCTGCGGACATTGATTCAGCTTCTCAAGAATGACATTTGTAAGCAGTCTCTATCCATATCACTATCTTTAGCAAATTAGCATTTAGTCTTATGCCTGTCATCCCATGATTGCGGACAATGGCTGCATCAGCTCCAGATATTACCTGAACATCTCTCAGTTGAAGGAGAAAGTCAGGTCCAGCACAGTAACGTTCAGTTTGTTAGAAAAGCAATATCTTTTCCCAAAACTCCCTCTCCAGACTTCTACTTGGGTATTATTGGCCACAACTGGGTCACATGGAAGGTAAGAAACAGGATTCTCAAGGTTGTCTTAGACTACTGGTGTGCAAACAACATCCAAATCTGGATCACTGTTTCTGTAAATAAAATTATATTGCAACATAGCCACACCCAATCATTTGCATATTTTCTGTGGCTCTTTTCACACTACGATGGCAGAGTTGTGTCAGAGACTGAATGGCTTGCAAAATTTAAAATGTTTACTATCTGACCTTTTACCAAAAAGTTTGCCAATGTCAACTTTATTTCACTACAGAGCTGTCACCTAGATTAGACATTTCCCTCTCCTAAACAAAACTGGAAGGGCTTTTAATACAAAAAGAAAGGAACACTGTCAATGTTAGCTGCTAATGTTATCTGCTATACATTAGTAAAGAAACTGAGGCCCAGAAAGCTTAACCTGCTCAAGGATAAAAATTGAATGAATGCAGTCCTAAGTTCAAAGTTCAAATTCAGGACTCTCTGATTATATGTACTTTTTTTTTTCTGGTACTGGGGCTCAAATCCAGGAGCACTCTAGCACTGAGGTACACCCCCAGCCCTTTTCTTTAAATTTTGACACACAGTCTCACTAAATTGTATAGACTGGCCCCAAATTTGGAATTCTCCTGCCTCAGCCTCCTGAGTAACTGGGACAACAGGTGAGCACCATCATGCCCAGCTTCATGTCCTTTTGAGTATATCATATTTTGGGGGGCTTTCTCATCTGTGAAGGACCTATGAAATACCCATTTGTTATTGTATTCCACCCTTCAATGAGTCATACTGAAGGACAGAGGGTTAATAAATCTATCAAAACAAATTCACAAGACAATTATGTACTTATTTTTAAATTGCATTTCAATGTTCGTTTTTCAAATTGTTCTCCTTCCCCTACATATGTATACTGGTTATTAGGCCCTGAGCTACTTTAAGATAGGTTTTCTTCCCCCACATTTTTTTCTCCAGCACTTAGCATACACCTAACACACAATACTGTATAAACTCTATTGTATCCCCACCCTACTATTGTTTCATATCAAGTAATCAGCACAGGTCTCAGTGAGGCTGTGAATTACCCACTCTGCCCTCAAAACATGCATAAATTGTTCTACAACCTGAAACAGTGACACAACAGATCAGAAAGCAGGAAGCGCATACTCTGGGACAAAGGGAAAAAGCCAGGTTTTGAGACAACAAAGACGATGCCTTTAGAAAAATCTACTTTTTTTCTCCCCTTTTTCTGTAATTCAATCTAGGGTAGCTATGAAAAACCGCTTTCCCTCTTTCTGTCTCCCATTGCAAACTTCAGAAGCTTCCTCAATTGCTGTCCATCTCTCAGTCCTGCAGGCCTTAGCCCTTTCCTCAACCTGGAAGATCCTTCTTCCCCACTCCTCTTATCACCAGGCTGACTTCTGAAGCTTTTAGAATCAGCCTCCTCTAAAATCCTTCCTTGGTAGTCAAAGGAGCCCTGCTATCACAGCCATACATACCATCCTGTACCCTGGACCTAATGTCTGCCTGCTTGTCCCTTGTTTGAGTCTATAAGCAAAGCCTATGAGGAGCCACATCTGTCTTGTTCAGTGCAGTCAATAAATAACTGGCCAATGAAAAAATAAGGAAGAGGTGTAGAAATTCAGAGGGCCCCTAACCCTTCTAATGGGTCAGGCCAGGGGTTTAACATTTGATTCCCTGCTACTCCCTCGAGGTTCTTATTTGCCCTTCAAACCTTGGAAACTGTCAACCAGAGCAAGAGTGTTCCTGTTTGGAGATCTTATCTGTAAGCCTCACCACTGGGTGTCGTTTTCCTCTATCTTGGCAGCCAGGGCAGTCCCCCTCCATCACAGCTGTTTAAGTGGTGGAGCCTGTCATCTTGGATAGAGTGCAAAAACTACAATGTAATCTCTCTTTGTTTCAGGGCCACTGACCAGGGGAAACCAAAACTGAGCTGACTGGGCTCTCCTGATGTGGACTAGCCAGTGGGTCTGTAGTTTCCTACTGTGTTTAAAACTCTTTATCTGGCATTGCTAGCAAATCAGCAAGCTCGCTGGTCAACTGGAGTCTTATCTCCAGAGCTGGCTCTTCAAAGAGGTATGTGCACACCATTCCCCTGGGTCAGATGTGCTGTGTCAGTGGGAGAGGGAGTAATTTGGGAACAGTCAACTTAACACATACAAGTCAACCCATGAACTTTTTTAAAGGCACAGTTTATTTTCCCTCATTGACTAGTGCTCTTTATAGAAAATTTGGCAAATGACAAAAAGTGGAAAGAAAAAAATTTCTTAACAGTTTAGTATATTTGATACATTTCTTTAATAGCTATAATTATGTTTAATTCCTAATAATATAAATTATACCGACTTTTAAAAATTTAAAGATATAATGGGAATATTTCTTTAAATTTGTATACTATTGGATAAACATAATTTCAATGACTATGTGATTGTTTATATGTAGAATAAGTTATTTAACTATTTTCTCATTGTTAGATATTTAGATGGTTTCCAGCACTGAAGTGTTATGCATGTCATTGAACATAAAGTTTTTCTAAATTTATACTTATTTCCTTAGACTAGATTCCCAGGAGGATAAAATTATTTAAGGTTTTTGGCAGATACTGCAAGACAATTTGACAGAAAAATTCTACTAATTTGTGCTCTTATCAGCAATGTTTGAGAATGCCAATCTCTTAGATACTAAGACTAGTCTCCTTCAATTTTGTATAGTTTTATTTGATAGAGAAAAATATTCATCACATATAACTTAGATTTCTTTCATAATTACTCATTAAATATTTTTTCATGTAAGTTAGTTCTTTTTTACATAATCTATTCATGTCTTTTTCGACCTTTCTATTTGGTACTTTAATATCTTTCCTGTTAATTTTTGTGTGAATTAATTCTTTTTTTGTTTTGGTACCGGGGATTGAACTCGGGACCTTGTGCTTGAGAGGCAGGTGGCTGAACCACTGAGCTAAATCCCTGGCCCTTGTGTGAATTAATTCTTATTTTCTCTATGTGTTGAAAATACTTTTTCCAGCTTACTTTCCATTTGATTTTGGTTAGTCTGGTGCACAAAATAAAAATTATTTTTGTACTTCAATATATTGCTTTATAACATTGTGTTATATTCTTTTACTTTTATTTTTTTTTCCACTTAAATGGTATCCCTCCCAGAGATCTCATAATTATTCTTTTTGTTTGTTTGCAGTGACTCAATGTGTTTGTTTGGCTGACTTCGGTGATTGAGAACCCCAAATCTAGAGTCAAACTGCCCAAATTCCAACACCAGCTCTACCAATCACCAGCTCTGTCCTGCTGGGGGGACAGATGATTTAAACCCCGGGTGCTTTGATTTTCTCATTTTAGAAGCTTATATAGTAAGTGCTATGGCTATTGGTATTTAACAAATTGTAAAGTGTGATCAAAAAATACAGCAAATGTTTAAATTTTTTTTAATTATAGTAAAAGACACATTGCCCCTAATTCCTCTCAAAATGCTCCATCTTGATTCAAATTTATCTCATCATTCTTGTCACTTTCTGAAGCAGTTCTGAAAGTCCTCTTCCATTTCTTTAGTTGCACTGTCATGACTGCCTTGATATCCTAAATTGATTCAAAACATTTATGTTTCATGGTCCTTTTGACTTTGGGAAAGAGTCAGAAGGTGCACTGTGGCAGGTCCAGTGAAGAAAGTGGATAAGGGCACACTCATGATTTTATGAGCCTTCCTTTCCTTGGATGGTATGCAAAAACAGCATTCACCACATTTTTGATCACACTTTGTGAACACATGAAAGAAGACTTCCAGAACTGTTTCAGAAAGTGGCAAGAATAATGGAATAAGTGTGTTTGAAGTGAGGGGAGAATCTTGAAGGGGATTAATGGCAATTTTTTTTACTGCAATAAAATTTTTAAAAATGTAAACATTCACCGTATATTTTGATTGCCCTTTGTATATCTACACTGTTTTAATATCTTTTTTTTTTTTTGACATAGGGTCTCCCTATGCAGTTCAGGCTGGCCTTGGACTCCCTATGTAGCCCAGGCTGGCCTTGAACTTGCAGTGATCCTCCTGCCTCAGCCTTCCAAGTGCTAAGATTACAAGTGTGTGCCACCACCCTTTTACAGTAAGTTCAATTTTTCTATTTTTCAAAATTGTTCATTTTTCAAATATTTGGATAATTTCACCTACTTGCTTTTTTTGATGAAATTTCTGTGATGCTCCTAACAAGGTTTCCAATGAAGATTTTGTTGTCTTTCCCCACCCCACCCCCCAGATGCTGGGGATTGTACCCAGAATGGGTGGTACACACCTGAGCCCCCTCCCCATCTCCTTTCGCATTGGTTACAAGACTGGATAGCATAATAACAGTCAGTGGTATAGTGGTTAAGAGTAAGAATTATAGCATCAAATGCACTAGGTTTTGTGTGGCTCTCAAATTTGCCACTTTGTGTCTTATGTTGGTCAGGGTATTTCCCTGAAATTAAGCATCCTTATTTCTAAAATAAAATAGGAGTAAGAATAGTGGCCACAACAATACAAATGCCCATACAAAAATAAAATAAAATATATCCATACAATGGAGTACCATTTGGTCATAAAAAGTAATGAAGAATTATATATGCTACAACATAGATAAACCTTGAAAAAATTATGCTAAGTGAAATAAAACCAGTCACAAAATACTACATATTTTATTCCACTTATTTGTAATGTACAGAATAGACACATCTGTACAGATGGAAGGCAGACTCCTGGTTGCTTAGAACTAAGTATTATATATGCTACATCATGGATAAACCTGGAAAAAAAGTATGCTAAGTGAAAGAAACAAGTCACCAAATACCATATGTTTTATTCCATTTATTTGTAATATACAGAATAGATGCATCTATGCAGATGGAAGGCAGATTCCTGGTTGCTTAGATTTTGGAAAGAGTTAAGAATGATAACTAAAGACACAGTGTTTCTAGTTAGGTCTTACATGGTTTGACTGTATTGATGGTACTAATAAGAGACTGGGAATTTGAGTTCTAATTGCATTGTAAAATTTACCAAGTAAATATAGGAATTTCCCTAATATTAGAAAGCTATTCAATAGATAATGGGCAGTCATTTTAATCAGATGCCTACTACAAGAACACAGCATAGACGTTTTAGAAAATCCCAAATCTTAGGAGTAAACTTTAAGGATATAAGAACGACTTAATTAGAACTAAGAAGAATATAGTTCAACTCTCTTTCCCATTCAGAATCAGAGATTCTGAGGATTTTCCTAAAACATTTAGTTATTATAAAATGTTAGCAATATAATCTAGTGCTTAAGAGTTCTTTATGATTGGGGCCGAGGATTTAGCTCAGTGGTTCTGCTGCCTGCCTCGCAAGTGCAAGGTCCTAAATTCAATCCCCGGTACCAAAAAAAAAAGAATTCTTTGTGACTATAGTGTCAGACAAGTCTGGGTGTGAGACCTAGATTTGCCCTTTATGCGGTAGCCTATTTGTTCATCTGGAAAATAGGGGTGATAATAGTCTTAACCTCATAGGGCTTTACAGAAATTAAATGTAATGCTTCCTCCCCACCAATGCCAAAAATGGTGTCTTGTATGTAGCAAGTGTTAGCAAATCCCTAATGGATTCTATAGAATTGAAGGTAGTCTAAAATCTTAGGGGTAAAAGAGGAAGAGGATCCACAGCTGAAGACAAAGAAGGACATGTAGTATAGATAGAAAAGAAATAGGGGGCCGGGGATTTAGCGCAGTGGCATGGCTCCTGCCTTGCAAGCACAAGGTCCTGAGCTTGATCCTCAGTACCGGGGCGGGGCGGGGTGGGGCGGGGGTGGGGGAGGGGGAGAAATTCCCGTCCCAGTAACCCTGGGAAATGAGCTAAAGCATTTCAAGGAGGGAGTAACTAAGAGTGCTAGTACTATATAGTAGTCAACTCAAACAAAGACAGAGAATTGTCCATTGGCTTTAACCATTAACATGTCATTCATATTTTAAGTATGAGGAGGCCCAATTTCAGTGGGTTGAAAAGAACACAGGAAATGATGGTATAAAGACATACACTGTCTCAAGTCATGGGGGTCTAGTCCCAACCTGTGGGTGTAATATACATCATCATATTTAATCCTTGTAAAGCCTTATGAAGTTAAGGCAGTTCTCACCCCCATTTTACAGATGAGCAAACAGGCTTTGAGACACAAGGTCATGTATAGGGCAGATCTAAGTTTCACACCCGGACTTGTCTAAGAATCAGAAAGAAATCTTAAGCACCAGATCAACAGTAATGTTTTATAAAGGCTTTGTGTGCTGACCTCACCTCTATTGTTCAGTTGTGACCAGTTAGAACATGGCATCCCCCTGGAAACTGTGCTGAGGTTGCCGATAAGCTGGCAGCCAAATTCAGGCCACCATGAGTCACATCCAAGATTTATATCATTATTATTGTGAAATCAAAATCCTATGTTTGTTGGACTTGAATCTGAGAGGACAAAGACCTGGAGCTGTATTTGGTAAAGCTTCTTCCTATTATATAGAATCTGAGAGTAAAGCCTACATTTAGGCAAATATATCCAGAACATGGAGAGATTTGGGGTCCCAATAATATTATCTGAGCCCTTGGATCAACCCCTGTCTGAAGCCAGCACCTTTATACTTTTCATTACATGAACTAATAATTTTTGTTGGTTTGTTTGTTCATTTATTTGGGGTTTTCTGTCATTGAATACCAAGAGAAACCTAATGACTAGCTTATTACTGCTCGCATGGTATTTTTTTCCCCAGTAAAATGTTAGGAAACCAATGCCCTAATCCTCTCATATCTGTTTTTATGTTTCATAGCCACCAATGCCTAGGATGGTGTCTTGTATGTAGCAAGCACTCAGCAAATGGCTGGTAGATTCTGAATGTGGGCTGATTCTACAACATTCCCTAAAAGTTGCTTTAGCAAAGCCTTCTGTCTGCAAGCTTGCTGACTGCTACTTTTGTCTCTTAATCATAAAAGTAATCTATAGAAGAAGTTCCAAATATTTGATCTTTCTGTTTATTTGAATCCACCTTAAACTGGAACTTAGTGTAAATATGTAGTTGGAATGTTCACTGCATGTTCCAACAAAACAGATGGGAAGATGCAGAGTGTATCGCTCTTGAATCAGTGGCTCAGTAAAATGAAATTTTTTCTTTCCATTCTTTGTTTATAAAAAATGTTTTTCTTTGGAGCTTGATCCCTTTCACATAAGGCTACTGACATCCTCAACAATAAAAAAGGGGTAGAAAAATAGGACATTTTTCTGTTTATTACTGTGAACACTTGGCAGCAATTCTGTACCAAAATGGTCATGAACTATTGCTGTTGTGCACTGTTTAGGAACACTGCTCTTTTGGGCTAGACTCACTAAAGCAGAAAGATGAAGATAGAAAAAAATACTTTCAGAACATACTGAGCAATGATGTTAAATGATGTGTCATAGCTGTGAACAGGTGGGAAATCTTGATTTTTTTCGTGTATTAGTAACTGCTGAGTTGGCAGTTTTTCACTGAAATAGGTAGAGTCTTCTACCATATCTTTGTAGCATAGTGCACTAGATGAATATAATTAATTGATCATAATAATGTTCCAGTTCACCATAACTATAATTGTGGCTCATCCATACTGAGTACTTCCATGTCAATAGCATGTAGCAACTATTTTATTACACCTATTTTTACAGATATGGAACAGCACAATTACTTAAGTTGTTTAAGGTCATACAGGTTGTAATGGAAGACCTAAGATTCATAATAGCTGGTCTTGCTTCAGAGATTACATTTTTAAATATTATGTTTTACTGCTTCCTAGAATATTTGCACAGACAAGTTGATAAGCTTGAGAGAATGCAGGAATGTAGATTTTTGGGAATGTCATTTTGCAATACCTATTAAAATTTAAATTACATTTATTTTGGACTTAATCTAGGAACATATTCTATTGAAGTAATAGACATGTGCTGAAGAAATTACATACAAGAATATTTACTGCAGCATTGTCAACATGAATTGTATCATTCTGAATGTTGATCAATAAATAAAGCCTGAATTAACAGTGATACAATCATGTACAATCATGTTTGTCATGTTCTTGATCTAGATCTATTAACCTGAAGGTTTATCCATGGTGTATCATTAAATAAGGAAAACATATAGCAGAGAACTTTACAGAGTGTGATACATTTTTATCAAGTAATGAGCAAATTTATATACATATCATATTATTGGGGTTGAGTGAAATTAGGGTACATCAGTGTGTTAGCATTTGGAGGTTGGGGAAAGTGGTTACAAGGAAATGTATGAAAACAGTGACTAAAACAACATGGAAAAATAAACATGGCATAATATAAAATGAAAATGTCAAATATAAAATTCCAAACTATTATTGCAAATATGTAGTAATTGTATATGCATTTAGGAAAAATCATGGGACAAAAGGACAAATGTTAAACATCAATTTGATTGAATGATAATTGTATGAAAAAATGTTTTCTTAGATTTTGGTTGTTTTTAACATAGATTTTTGTAATAAATGAACATTAAGAGGGGAAAAAAGAATTATAAGCTGTTTTGGCTTGTATCTAGATGTCCCTTCAAGATTCAAGTCATGGGGTCATCGGTGGGGCTTTTCAGAGGTGGCTGGATCTAAGGTGTATAATGCTATGATTAAGTATGAGATACTGGAATGAAGGGGATATGATTACTAAATTAGTCCACTGATTGGTCCAGCATAGTTTTGAATGTGGATAATGAGAAGGCCCATCCTAGGTGTGAGTGGCACCACCCAAAGTGTAGGTAGCCTGGATGAATATATAGTAAAGAGGCAGAAAGAAGGCAGGCTGGCTGCTGCTTCTTCACTACTTCAGTGCTGTTCTGCCTCCTGCCCACCATGAACTGTTTCTCCCCTGTGATGCCCTTCTGCCAAGCCACCCTACCTTGGAGCCAGCCAACTATGAATTGAATCCTCTACAAACTGTAAGGTTTTCCTCCTTTAACTTTGGATTTCAAATATTTTGTCTCAGCATGAGAAAAGTAACTAAGACGTAAACTTTTTAAGGAAAGGAATGAGTCTGAGAACCAGAAATGAAATCAAGATAAAATC